ACAGAATGGCAGATATAACTCAAATTCATATACCAAAGTTAACTTTTGTAACTATTCACAAAATGAAATAAACATAATTCTTTATATTTGTCCCAAAATGTTGATGAAGACATGTAAGCCAATAAAAATGTTTATCTACTGTAGAATACTTTATTTTCTCTTGGAATTTATTTTCGCCGAAAGGATGATTCCGTGAAATAAAATCCAGCGAATATACTTTTTTCCCTATATTTCACATTCAACGTCAAAAATCAGTGAAATTAAATTCCATACAAAACACCCAAAATGCCTTTTCAAAGAAAATTAATTCCAGCTAAAATAAAGTATTTCACAGTATTTGATCCAAAATTGTTTTGAAAAATGCTTAAAAATAAGTAAAAATCACTATATCAAGTTAACATCCATGTATTTAAGATACTGAAAACAAATAATGTTTCTTACCATGGCATTTTGACTCCGTCAATTTCTATTGTATTTTGTTCTACAGTAGCGTTACTTGGTGGTGTTGGTAGCGTTGCACCAAACGTTTTGTAATTAACATCAACGTTCTCAGGTTTGGGTTTCTCCATCCAAGTTGGCATAACATACTCATATAGACCCTGTCGATAAGAAATTAACAAATGTATCCCATAATTCAGTGCTCTTATGCAGTATGTGCTGACTTGGTCAAATGGTTAAAAAAAACTGTTAGCAAAAAAATTGGTTTGATACCAGTCATAGACATTTGCAATATAATAAAATAAATTTTCTGATGATAAAACATTTTTATTGGCAATGTTTTCATCACAACTTATTGCATGACGCCCTCTAGTGGCATTTGTGCATGCTCATCAGGAAAAATTAATGAATATAAAAACAAAGGATTATATCAACCCAAACACTAGAGGGCACTATACCATACAAGAAGGCAATTTACCAAGTGGCCCCAGAAAATTCAGGCAAGAAATCTATTATCTCTAGTTAAAAAACAAAAGAATACAAATTCTCCAACACATGAGGGCACGATATAGAACAATCTGTTAACCATAGCAGTAAAAATCAATAGGGATGAAGTCTTTATTTCTTACGGGTACTGTATTTGCTATATCAGAAGCACATCTTCAATGAAAAGCATAAATATAAATCAAAAATCGTACATGAAGTTATTAAAATATTATTTATTTTGATGATACAAAAATCTCTATTTCATGTAAGTGCATGTATCGTAGAACAAACATAGTATCTGTTCTGAGTAGAGGATATTTTAAGAAAGTTTCGCCAACCAAAATGATTTTCTGAAACTGGAGTGTATTGCCACATGCGTATATATATATATATCTATATATCTACCTCTTTACCCCCATCTCTTCCATATCCACTTTGTCGATATCCGCCAAATCCCGCTGCTGCATCGAACATATTATGACCATTAATCCACACAGCGCCAGCTTTCAAATTAAATGCTACTTCCAATGCCAGGCTAACGTTCTCAGTCCAGACACTCGCTGCTAAGCCATATATAGTATTGTTACCGATAGCGATGGCTTCTTTGGCAGTACGGAATGGAAGCACAGTTAATACTGGGCCAAATATCTAGAAATAAATCATGATAGTATTTAAGGTTTTGTGGACATGTAGGCTGGGACTTTAGCATTGCAGGGTCTTGTGAACATTGAAGTCACTGTGAGTACACTTTGGAAAACAAATTTATCATGCTAGTATCGTTGCTATGATGCAAAAGACCACCACAATATCATAAACCATTGCCATCTTTTCAATTGAATTAAACATTAATTACTACTATGGTATTATTACACCAGGACAATCTTATCATCAGAAATATAAAATGGACTGTCGTTTCTGAAATTTCCAATTTTTTGGGGGATCAGTAGATTTTGGGTCAGATTTTTTGAGTTGTGTTTTGGCAAATGAAATGTCAAATAGTTTGGAAAGGATTGGTGTTTGCAATCTGACACATATGTGACCTCAGATGAGGGAACCATGGTCACGGTCCAAAACAATTAAGAATAACATACGTACAATGTATAACCTACTCATCTCAGTTCACAAACATTTTATACCTTCCTATTCATTTGTTAAGACCAAATTTGTGTGCTTTAAAATTCACATATATTATAATTAAATTTATTAAATACCACACTCAACACCACAGTTGAATTAGGCTGCATGTACTAAAGTAATGCAGTCACAAATCTGAATAAGAAATAAGAATAGCTGAAATTTCAGGAATTGCCAAAGACTTCTCGCAAAAGATTTCTCAGATTGCACACTTTTCCAAGGCCTTCAGTATGCTAGAGTTGGCTTATGTTACTTTAAAGCGGGAGGGTGTCACCTGCACAGGCACGGGAATTGAGTCCCCAAGCGACGATAGCAACACACACTAAAAACACAAAGGCTCGTGGGTGGACGCTTGTTTGTAAACAATGACACGCTATGACCATCTAACGATTGCACAGGTGACAACTCCCCCACTTTAATATCCAAGAGTCCTAGCTAGGTGCCTGAAGTTAACTGGTCTCATCATCACCAGTTGTCGTGCATCAAAGTTTGATAAAAATAAATGTATCTCACCTCTTCTACGACCACTGTAGATGATGTCTGTACATTAGTGATCAATGTTGGTGGATAGAAACATCCTTTTGTTGGGAAGCAGTCATGTGCCTGGAAGACTTCTGCACCTTCAGCCTTAGCACCCTGTACATACTCGTCAATTGTCTTACGTTGTGTAGGATCCACTATAGCCCCCATATCAATGCATTTATCAAGGGAATCACCAACTCGTAGGTGTCGCATTCTTTCTTTTAGTTTGTCAACCATCTTCTGAGCTACTGTTTCTTGTACCAGGAGTCGAGATCCGGCACTACACACCTGGTAATAAGTGTTATAAAGCAATCGTATTATAAATTCAAATTGAATACCAATTATTATTCAGATAACTGTTTCCTTCAAACCTCATTTACATATAAATTATTTGCATTTAACACTGAGCGCCAATTTTCCCCATGCTCAAAATGGAATACTTTAAATGCATTAAATATTAGCTAATTTTACTATTGTCGTTGGTAAGTAGTATTCGCTAAATTAAATCTATGCATGTAAGCATGTAGAAAAATAATAGAACTCAATTTTTCCCTGCCAAGCTTATGAGTTAATCCTCCAGTGAAATTGCTCAAAACATCAAAAACAGTGAAATTAAAAGCCAGCCAAAATAAATGGTATTACAGTGACTTTTTTTCTAATATTTTTGGGAATTTTCACTGAACTTAATCTCAATTTTGGACCAAAGAGACAAAATATGACATTGCTTCTATTTTTTGATAAAAATAAAATAAAATTTGCATCAATATTTTCTGTTGAAAGGAGCAGAATGAAAATATAATATAATAACTATTGTGCATGGTGAGTGTCATTGACTTTGTTGTTCAGAAGGTTGATGTCATAAATTAACAAATTCAATATTTAACTAAGTTGCTAAGAGCTAATTTTTTCGAGAAAGAATACATGGCTTAAATAATTTAAAACTTCACACAACACATCTCAGTGCATGTATCTGTCATAAGATGGCTGCCTTTGAAAACTATAAGGTAATCACAGAAGGTGTAACCTCTAAGTTGGCGTCACTAACATACACAGATTTTTTGTGATGTAGTTGTGCCATCATTGACGCAACATAAATTGTACATTGATTTAGTTATCTTGAAAAACCGCCATAGTTATTGGATTTGTAATTTGGTAAATTAAAATTCTCATTTTACAAACAGAAATGAAGAAAATCAGTAGCTACATTTTCTTTCCGCCTCAAGTCGTCTATACCGTAACTTACACTTTTTTTCTTGAAGAACAACCCATAACTCTTAACAAGAGAAATTATTTGACCCTTGTATTTCCAAACTACTGTAAAATACTTTATTTTAGTTGGAATTAATTTTCGCTGAAAAGACTTTTTGGGTGTTTTGTACGGAATTTATTTTCACTGATTTTTGATAGGTCGAATGTAAAATTTAGAAAAAAATAGCGAAAATTAATTCCATGCAAAAATAAAGTATTTTACAGTATCTTGCTACCCCTAGTTTATACCTACCTGTCCTTGATTAAACCATATCGCGTCTACAACGCCCTCCACAGCGCTGTCCAAGTCTGCAGATTCAAACACAATGAATGGTGATTTTCCTCCTAATTCTAATGAGATCTTTTTACCGGAACCAGCAGTGGCTCTTCTCAGTATCTGACCAACCTGGCAAATAAAAACAAATGAACATGTTAAGCTAACACAAGAGGGCACTATACAACAACTATGTTGTGCTGTGGGCACTTTTCTTGTCTTTCATGTTTCTAGTGTATTATTTATCTATTATATACAATATTAAGTTCTCTTCAATAATATACTGCATATATGTGCAGTAACTTTCAGCAAAATTTACATTCAACTCAAACTCCGCTAATTGAATTTCCTCAATATTTAGCTGTTAGGCCATTTAGGCCAACCAAATTCACTACAGCATAAACAAAAGAAAACATCAAGTCCAAAACAGGAGGGCACTGTACAATTTACAACAAGACATTGTCCCTTTTGCAACTTTATCTATGTATACATTTGCAGCCAGATTTCTCTCCAGTAACACAAACAAAAGAAAGACGTCAACTCCAACACAAGGGGGCGCTATAACATAGAAATATTGGCCACTTGCCTGAATTGATTCAGCAAATGCAATTTTATCTATATTTACATGTCTGGCAAATTTACTTTCAAAATTGCCTTCACCAGTAACACAAACAAAAGAATATATCAACTCCAACACAAGGGGGCACTATACCATACAAGAGTCCACTGCTTGTTCACTCACCTGTGTTGACCCAGTAAATGCAACCTTATCCACACTGGGATGTGTAGCTAATTTACTTCCAAATCTTCCATCTCCAGTGACAACGTTGAACACACCGGGTGGAAGTCCAGCCTCAGCACAGATCTCCGCAAACAATAAGGCTGTCAATCTGGTATACGTAGCTGGTTTTAGAACGACTGTGTTACCCATGGCTAACGCTGGGCCTACTTTCCATGTAAGTAACATGAGTGGAAAGTTCCATGGAACAATTGCACCAATCACACCTACAAAAATGAAATACAG